TTGGAAGAGTGCTCCAGTACATAAACAGTCTAAACGCACTTGCGTAAACATTTGTACCAGAGTGGCGCTTAGACTGTGCTTAGCCTGGGTGATTTTTTGAATTTTTAATCCAAAATTACAAAAAAATTTTTTTGAAAAAAAAATTCAAAACAAAAAATTTTTTTTTCCAAAATCAATTATTTTGTTGAAACAAGCAAAAAGTTCTTTGAATCATTTAAATCGGACGCTTAGTTCTCTCAAAAACTGCCATTTTTTTTAACATTTCGCTCTGTATCTCCGAAACCGCTGGGCCTATCTTTGCCAAAACTAATCAGCACATCTCCCTATCAATAGGAATCGAATGTTTTTTAAACCATTCAAATCGGTTGATCCGTTCTCTCAAAAACTCGCTTTCTATTTTCTGCACTCTTTGCTCCATATCTCCGTAACGGCTGGACCTGCCTTTGCCAAAAACTAATCAGCACATCTCCCTATCAATAAAATCGAATGTTTTTTAAACCATTGAAATCGGTTGATCCGTGCGCCCGAAAACGTGGACGAAAAAAAGCGGACATACAAAACTCACACACACACATCCATTTTTTCTGAAGTATGCCAAAATGTTCAGAAACCTTCAAAACGCCGAGAAATGTGAAAATTTTTTATTTCGATTTTTGGACGATTACTATAACTTACCCTACGGGAAGTTAAAAAAAACGCGTTAGTAAATCAGAATGTAATGTATTGTAAATTTGTCGGTAGTTTTCTTGAATAGTGATTTTTTTCGACATCAATGTTGTGATAATAAATCTAAACTAGTGGGGCGCATGGCATCGTGCCTTAAGGCAAATTGCTGGAACTTCCCGTACCAGAAATTATTTTTTTTTAAAAAGATTAACATTTTTGAAAAAAATTTACTCTGATAAAATTGATTTTTGAGAAACTATAAATTTTTGACAGAAACTTACTTTTTGTTGAAAAATTTATTTTGAAATATTTTGGAAATTCTGAACTTTTTTTCAAAGCAATCGTACTGCTTTAAATGCATAGAGACTGAATATCGAAGCGCGTAAGCGCCGCGTCGTCGTCTAACGGATAAACACTGGTACGGAACCCATAGGAATGTTAACAAAACTTATACTTATTGTTAAAATCTCTATAAAATATCTGATAATTTGATATGCATATGTCTAATGTCTAATGATTATTGTTGACCGCCAAATGTTATTTTTTTTTAGTTTTTTTTACTAGATCTCCGAAATTTACACAAAATTGAAAAAGTGCTCCCGCATAGTCACAGTCTAAACGCATTTGCAAATAATTCTGTGCGACATTTTCACTTATACTGTGCTTAGCTTGGCGGCATTTTCACATTTTTCAATAGTTTTCACAAAATTGGAAAAGTGCTCCAGTACATAAACAGTCTAAACGCACTTGCGTAAACATTTGTACCAGAGTGGCGCTTAGACTGTGCTTAGCCTGGGTGATTTTTTGAATTTTAAGTCCAAAATTACAAAAAAAATTTTTTGAAAAAAAAATTATTTTTTTTCCAAAATCAATTATTTTGTTGAAACAAGCAGAAAGTTCTTTGAATCATTTAAATCGGACGCTTAGTTCTCTCAAAAACTGCCATTTTTTTAAATTTAGCTCTGTATCTCCGAAACCTCTGGGCCTACCTTTGCCAAAAACTAATCAGCACATCTCCCTATCAATAGGAATCGAATGTTTTTCAAACTATTCAAATCGGTTGATCCGTTCTCTCAAAAACTCGCTTTCTATTATTTGCACTTTTTGCTCCATATCTCCGTAACGGCTGGACCTGCCTTTGCCAAAAACTAATCAGCACATCTCCCTATCAATAGGAATCGAATGTTTTTTAAACCATTCAAATCGGTTGATCCGTGCGCCCGAAAACGTGGACGAAAAAAAGCGGACATACAAAACACACACACACACACACACACACACATCCATTTTTTCTGAAGTATGCCAAAATGTTCAGAAACCTTCAAAACTTCGAGAAATGAAAAAATTTTTGATTTCGATTTTTGGACGATTACTATAACTTACCCTACGGGAAGTTAATAATATGTGATATAGTCTTTGAATATGTAAAATTAGTTAAAATATTTAGCAGTCACGAAAAAACTTTATCTGTTGAATGCTGACAAAACAAATTTGGAACTAAAATAAATAATTAAGAAAAGAAAATAAAATTAATAATAAAGAAAATAATAGGAAATGTTCAGATGATAGATTATGGCAATAGGAGTATTATAAATGGAATGAAAAATTATCACGTACATGAAACAAGAGATAATGAATGAATTGAAGTCAAAGCACTGTTATTGAGGTTCAACAATAACTAACTATAATATTATATAATAACGAAATTGCGAATTTATTGGAACCAGAACAATTAAGTATTTTTGTAAGTGAAACAAGATAGTAAGCAATATGATTAATATTTACTATAATTACTCATTTATTTCAATATGACAGACGATATGAATATTTGAAGAGAGCATAGGTTTGCTCCTACGTAAAATAACATGAGCATATAACATGTCATGGAAGGAATTAACTTTGATTGAGATAAATGCATAACACGAGGATTTAGTGTATAATACACGGTATTTCATATACAATTTTGATTTCGATAGTGTCACTAATTATGATTTATTTACATTACAATTTTCTTGGTCTATTTGTTGAAAAATCACACATGACAATGAAAAAGGAAATTTGATTTATAACCATCATTGTGATGGCAATGATTTGATGGTTTTATTGTGCCAAACTATTTGAAACATCCAAATAGAAGTTAGTTCCAATCCAGCCAAAGACATTCACGTCTTCATACTTGTGAACTACTCAAAGTAGTTTTCAACCAAATAGAAGAAACCGTCCTGGATTTACATTATTAACCAAATATCAAATTTGAAGCTGATGCAAAGTATGAATACTTCATACTTCATACTTCAACCTTTTTTTTATTTAATTTTGGATCTATTTGGCTACTAGATTATTTTTCTTCGAGGATAAATACCAAATGTTAAATAAAATGATATCTATAATTCAGTCGCAGAAGGAATTTTGACACATTTAATAATTTTGAGATATTTATAAAAGGTGCTATCACAATAAATAGTATTAGCTTGAAGATTCTTCATCGCCATGCATAATTAATCAGGAGCATCGTTTTAATTTGTACGGATTTCTTAATCATGGATCAAATGGTATAACTGACCTTAGTTTAGTCGAAGAAGGAAGTGACATCACAATAAATAATATTCGCTCAAAGGTTCAAATCAAGAGGTTTGGTTTAATTTGTACGCAAATCGTAACCATGTATAAAATGCTATAATCTATTAGCAAACGAAGATATTTCAATACTTATATAAATTATTCAAGGTCGTGAAGATTGATTTGTCCAATTCAATTGTGATTGTAAAATTTTGGGACCTTCCCAATCTTTACCAAATCACTTATGTATATGTATCTACTAAGTTTGTTAAATTGATATAAAAAGGAAATTGAAACATGTTATGCAGTCTGGATATTATATAAAGAAAAAGTAATATAGAGTAAAATCGATTCGCACTCGAAATCGATATTAAAAATTTGTATTGATATTTGCAAATATTAAGAAATTCTTGAAGAGAATAATCAGTTTTTAATGCAAAGGGCTATATTTAACCAATTTTAAATATTCAACGATCAACACATGTAACTTGAAGGATAAACTTGTAAGATATAAAAAATTTTCTTTGTTTTTCTCTAAACTTACAATTGGAAAACTACAAACGCTTGAATACATTTCTACAATACATTCAATATGATAACTTTAAAATGAATGTAAAATTATATGAATCATTAATAATATAATTATAGTTACTAATAGCACATACTATCGCTATAATAAAAGTAAAACATGTTTCTTATAATTTTAGTTCCATTTTTTTTATTTTGCCACTATATTAAAGCTATACATATTTAACGTTGCATAAGATTTATTTTTGAACATACAAGAGACTGCGCATTTTGTAATTGGTTAAATTTTTATTTCTTTACTAGAAACGAAAATACTTCATTTATATTTTTTAGTTCCATATACGTTTCATTGTTTGTAATGTTCAAATTTTCGATCCATATTTTATCTAAGTATGCTTCTTCATGTCGTTGCTTGTACCATGTAAATTCAAGTTGAATATTTTATTTTTTATATAATATATACGGTTTTTAAATTTCGGAAAAAGGAATGTCTTCCACATGTGCACCACTATTTTTTCAATTTCATACGAATTCTTGGATAAAACATTTTCTTTCATTTCACTATTGAATTCTTGGGTAAAAAATCGGAGTCTGTCATGCGCTCTAAGTCACACTATTATATCTTGTATTTTGAAACCTCGTGGATTTAAGGATCTAGAAAAATAGAAGGCGACAGAGTTTAGATTTTTCATGCTATATGCAGTCTTAAAAACTTACCTGCCCAGAACGCTATATAATTTTTTTTTTAACTTTCATGCTGCTATGAGAATTGTATGTTCAGAAACTCTAATATAAAATTATGGGATCAGGCATTGGTATTGATCGAAAAATTTTGTTCGCGATTGGTAAAACTATATGGAGAATGCATGCTTGTATATAATACTCATCGTATTTTTCACATGATAAATGATGCAGTAAGGGAAGAAATCATTGTTGACCAGTACGGCTGTTTTCCATTTGAGAGTTATTTGGGACAGTTACTAAAATTGATACGAGGACCAGCAAAGCCTTTTGCAACAAGTATCATGCAGACTACTCGAACAATTTCATGATAAATCAAATGTAGATCCAAATGATATTGTAATACATAAAAAATTCCAAGATTGATTTTGTTAAAATAAATGGATATAAAACATATTCGTCAATTAATAAGGATTGTCATATATTGCTCCCTAATGAAAAGATAATGTGTGTAGATGAAATAATTGAACAGGAATCAAATTTACTTTTTCGAGGGTTTCTCTTACCCTTTCGACCCACACTTGAAAACAAAGTTGTAAGGTCTTTGCTCATACATTTTCTTAGCATTGATGTAATCAATTGCTTCTTGTTTGTTCTGCCAGTCAGAGTTAGCTGAATTGACTGTAAAAAAAACTTATTAAATACATTGCATATTAGCTATAGAAACATTAACTATAGAAAATATTTTTCAGCTTTTCTTCTAAATCGTCTAATTCTTCATTCGTCTTAATAGGTAACATAAAGTTAGTTTTTTTTTTCACAGATTGAATCTGTGAAGCTGATGCCTCGTAGAGATAGAGCTCAGAGTGTTATCGTCGGAGCTCTCAATACACGATTGATTTTGAGTTCTTTTTACATACTTCTTCACGTTTCTATAATCGGTGGTGCTTCTCATAAACTTAGCCTCCAATTCAGAGTAATCTCTAAACGAAGGAGGCTCGCACGCCTTCAGCATCTTATTTAGTTTATAGCCTGCTACATTTCCTGATCATGATTACATAGTCTTTTCCTCATTTACTGCCCATGATGAGGGCACGTGTCCGCATGAACCCTCTTTTTAAAAATCACTATATCCCATGAACACTATTAAATATAATGGTACCAATTTTGAAATTTATTTATTACTATATATTTATAGTTATTACTATAACTAATTAATTCAAATATTTAAATTAAAATAAAAAAAATTAAATTAAAATAAAATTATTTAAATTAAATAATTGAAATTCATTTTTAAGATATCTAACCTCCATCTTCACTTATTTAAAATTTAACTACGTAAACTTATCTTTAAACAAATACCTGCAACTGTTGCGACGATCAAAACTGGAAAGAAATACGAAATGCAATTGCGATCCTTGCAACTACACAAAATTAAATTTTGGCGCGATTATTTATTAGTGTGGGCACTGATTTACATTTTCTTCAAAACCAAATGCGTAAATAATGTTCCAGGTAGTTGACATTTTTGTGCCAAATGTGAAAATAATAAAATCAATTAGTTGTAAGTCAAACATCCAAGCTATGTATCATATATATTAATTAATATTGATTCTACAATTGTAAGTTGAAGAGTGTCAAATGATATAAGACTTGATTTGTCTTTTGCCCAAATTTTTCTGAGAATGTATGGAAAGGCTTGAAACTTCACAACAATGCTTGCAGCATATATAGTGCGCTTGAAATTATACATGATATATTAGTTATTATAGAATAGAATGCTAAACAAAGTCATTTTGAAAATATATATACAACCCCTGAAAAAAATACAAGTATACAAGATAGACAAAAATAAAATTTACACTTGAATATGAATCTTTTTATTTCAGAAATAATTTCTTACTTAAATTTAATTTTAACATATTGTACAGTCATGGATGTTATTTACCATTAGAATTGGAGTTCCTATCCTATCATTACCGTCCTGGCCGCCGCGATGGTTTCTTTGCCCACCGTGGTTGCTTCCGCGGCCGCCGCGGTTGTCTGCGCGGTAATTTCCGCGGCCACCGCGTTGCTTGACGCGACCGCCGCCGTTGTTTCCTCTACCGCCGCCGTTGTTTCCTCTACCGCCGCCGTTGTTTCCTCTACCGACGCCGTTGTTTCCTCTACCGACGCCGTTGTTTCCTCTACCGACGCGGTTGTTTTCTATGCCGCCTCGGTTGTTTTCTATGCCGCCGCGGTTGTTTTCTACGCCGCCGCGGCTGTTTCCCCTGCCGTCGCCCCAACTCGCATCGTCTGTGGACTAAAATAATAATTAATAATATTATAATAGCTGATTGCTATGTATTTATGTATTATTATAAAAATTTAATATTACCTCTTTGTAACTATAAAATCTTATTTCTTGATCTTTAAAAAATGTAGGAAGTATTCCTCCACGTTTCCACTATCTTCATAAAGAACCGGCAGGAGCGATAATACACGCTCCTCCTTTGATACAGCAATTTTATCGTGTCGAAGCATAGACTAACGCCCTTCATTTTGTAACCTATTATAAAGAAAAATTATAATGAAAAATCCCTAATTATACCAATGTATACATGTATATATATATATATATATATTAGGGTGGTCCTTAAAATGGTCATTTTCGAATTTCCTTGCTCCCAGGGGCTCAAATGGTTCCAAATAGATAAAAAACTATTCTCTAAAAGTTTTAGCTCTTAATATTAACGTTTAGATAGAGCGCAATTCAATCAAAGTTTGTATGGAAGAGCATGGAAAAAATTTTGAAATTAAAAAAAAATGTTTTAGGTATAACTTAGCGACAAATGATTGAGTTTTAATCATTCATTTGTTCGCTAAATTACATCTAAAAACATTTTTAAAATTTTGAAAATTTTTTCATGCTATTTCCATACAAAACTTTGATTGCATTGCGCTCTATCTAAACGTTAATATTAAGAGCTAAAACTTTTAGATAATTGTTTTTTATCTATTTGGAACCATTTGAGCTCATGGGAGCAAGGAAATTCGAAAATGACCATTTTAAGGACCACCCTAATATATATATATAATATATATATATATGTGTGTGTATATATGTGTATATATATGTATATTATACATAAAAAGAAATATATACCTTTGTTATGCTCCGACACCCCACACAACAAAACCGTGTGACAAAGAAACGATGTCACCGAAACATCTCCTAATTTCGTTGGTCTCGATTTTGCACTCGAGTTATAATAATAAGAATGTTCTAATTATACACATGTCCTGAAGAATAAAAAGTGGACTTAAATTACTTACACAAGCCTATCTTCCCAATGGGACTCGGTGTGGCAGTCTGTTAATATTATCAGTATCTCTTTCGATATTTCACTCACTAGCGTGAAATTCCTCACAGCTCTCGCCATTTTTATTTAAGAATGCTAGAAAAATAAAAACTATAATAATAGAAACGAAGAAATAGTTTTCAAATAAAATTATATATGTAATTTTAATAATACGCTATACATATCAATAAAAATCATGAATTTTTATAAGAAAATATTATAATTCCTTACGTTTCAGCATTATTACAAATATATTTGCATAAAGCTATAAGAACTATTAGTTCCATAAATACAAATTACTGATGCAGTAAAGGAATAGCCACATAATTGGATTCAGTTGCATATGGCAGAGTTACACATTTTTGTTTTATTTCCTTCACAGATATTGTCACATCATTCATAATTTTTGGGTCAAAAACATGAATATTGAATAGTTTCGAGTCGAATGGTTTTAAAAATAATGATTTTGTCATCGTCGCTTCCGAACACAATATTTTATCAACATGACAAATTTTATTTATTAAAACTATTTTATTCTCGGTTGTTAAACAACAGTTATTTGAAGCTATATTACTTATAGAATTTTTTTTTAAATTAAATCTTCTCTATTTCTAATGTTTTTGTCCGGTGTATTACTGGAAAACTCTTGATTTGAATAAATTCACTTCTGCTTTTATTAGTTGTTTCTTCCCACATTCTGTTTACTAATTGTTGCAAGGGCTTGAGTGAAACTTGAATCTTATTTTCCACACTTATGAAATAATTTTCAAATGGAAAACAACTAAATTTGTCTAATGAACAACCAAACTTCTTGACTTCATCAGCTAAATGGATTATATTATGAACATTGAATGTTAATCTATCTGATTCATATGAATCAGAATAATTAATGACAAAAAGTTTTAACAAGTCCTCTGCCATACTATTTCAGTGGAGACATGCCTCTGGCTCACATAGAATTCTAATGACTGAACTAAAATGCAGAAAATTTAAAAACAATTGATTACTTAATACAGGTCTCAAAACTACTCATCCAGAATCCAACAAAAATTGTATGTGTTCAGTGGCCTTCCAATGTTTGTGATCCTCTAGTCTTCTAGGCACTCTGGAAACATCCGAAGGGAGCAACTTTCTATGCTTTATTATATAATTGTTCATATCCTTTTTTGTTCTTCCGTAAAGCGAATATCTATAAATTCGCACATCCAGAGAGCAATTAGGCGCTTTGTCACCCCCAAACACACCATGTGCATATAATCCAATGAACTTGGGAAATCATACCGATCCCCAAATTTTCTAGAATAGATACACCAGTATGGTGCTTGGGGTATTGTTTTGATTTTACACGTTCACGTCGGTGTGTACCACCGGTGTACCACACTGAACTGTCTCTAGCTAGAGTGTGCCATCGGGCGGGTTGTACCACCGGTGGCCCACGCTCGACTGTCTCACCAATCGCAATTGTACCCCATGAGGTACAAACTTAATTTTACTTTAGGGTGCTCAAAATTAAAATATAAATATATATTTTTTTCTTTTGTCAACAACCGATCAATGATTAATTCTCTAAATTTTAAAATATTTAATTTTTTGTGCCCCATTTCTGTGTATGTACCAAGCATTTGCAATCGATGTTCCACAAATTAGTTGTATCAATATTTTTCGATACCATTTTATTGTTTTGCGTAGGCAACTATAATACCCCGATAGCTGATCCGATACGTCTATGCCTTTTTTGCATCGTTATAATCGAATACAACATCGTCTTTATTTTGCCATTTGCTGCTTCTATAAATTGGCATTGATCATGATTTGTAGTGGTCAGCATGCATACCGGTCTTTTGTCCGTCCATTTTAAAAATGTGATTCTGCTGCGATTTTCCACAGCCAACAATTCACCACGTTTTTGTTTTTGTTTTGCATGGGGTGTAAATTCTTCTGTTAATTTTTTACGGTACCACACATAAATGTAATATTATCTAAAAGAAGTTTACCTAAAGAAACACAGTGTAAAAACTATCGATGAAAAGAGTGCGCTCCTCAATTAACAACCCGTTTAGCAATCTCATTACCACATCTTGAGACTGGCATTTTTCAATCATCGTTCCATTCTTGTCGGCATATATTTCGATATTATGCGTATATCCTTCGGATAAACATAATTTATATAATTTTACGCCATATTTGTGTCGCTTTCCTGGGATGTATTGACGGAAACCTAAACGTCCTCTCCAAGGAACCATGCTCTCATCGATAACAATTTTTTGACCAGGTCTAACGGAACTTTTGAATTGATGAACAATGGCATCTACAATTTACGAATTTTGTATAATCGGTCTGGAGTGGCTGTGGTGTTATCAGAAAAATGTAAAAACTCGAGTATAGCTAAAAAACAATCACGTTTCATTGCATTTTTTATTCTCTGTTCGCGTACATGTCGTTTTTAGACGAGTAGAAACGAATTTCTGGTAACTGCACGATACCCATGATAAGTAATATGCCTATGAAAGTATTCATTTCATCCCTTGTAACATACTTCCAATGCATTCTGTTACAATATGATGAATTAGTTAGGCATTGTGTAGCATACTTATAACACACAATTATATCTAATATGTGATCCGCAAAAAAAAGTTTAAAGCAAATGCGTCATAACAGTCAATACTTTCATGTAAAAATTCCTCCTTTCCCGGATATTCAATTATTGTAGAAGGTTTTCTTCTAAAGTCATATGTCAGGAGAGAAAAATGTTTCTAAATGTGTCTCTAAGAAGTGCCGGAACAGATATGAAGTTATTAGCAGCAGAGCAGAGATTAGATGAAGGAGTAGCTAAGTTGCGCACCGAAAACAACACGTCACTCAAACTGAAACTTATTCGATTTGAGGACCAAGACGTGTCAGTTTTGTGCGACATCTCTACGAGAACAGCTAGACCGTATATTCCAACAAAGTTACGGCGAGCGGTGTTTGATAGCTTACACGGATTGTCACACCCTGGTATGAATGCTTTGATAAAGCTAGTTACAGAGAGATATGTGTGGCAGTACATCAAACGGGATTGCTGCGAGTGGGTTCGATGTTGCGTCGCATGTCAGCGGGCAAAAGTCTGTAGGCACGTGCAGGCGCCAACGGGACAATTTGAACTTTCATCGAGTAGATTTGAGGACGTACATATCGATATAGTGATAATGCCATTGTCAGAAGGATATCGGTATTGCCTGACATGCGTCGATAGATTTTCTAGATGACCGGAAGCAATTCCAATTAGAGATCAAGAAGCCTCCACCGTAGCGCGAGCCTTCTATTCTAATTGGATTGCAAGATTTGGTATACCGCTGCGGCTAACGTCAGACCACGGAAGGCAGTTCGAGTCACGGATATTCAGTCAACTAAATCAGCTGCTTGGAACGAGTCATTACAAGACTACGGCATACCATCCCAAAGCCAATGGGATGGTTGAAAGATTCCACCGCCAGCTCAAAGCAGCTATTAGATGCCATAGCAGTAATATATGGACAGAAATATTACCGACGGTTATGTTAGGAATTCGTGCAGCATAGAAAGGGGATCTACAAGCTACTGTTGCGGAAATGGTATATGGCGAAGCCTGGACCAATGCTACACGTAACACCGACGAGTTATTACGGCGAAAGAAACTTTATGAATGACCTGCGTAACCACATGCAAAAGATATGCCCCACCAATGGAACGCGACATGGTCAGAAGACAACGTTTGTCTTTAAAGATTTAATGACCGCGGAGAGCGTTTTCGTTCGATGGCCCAAAGAGACCTCGGCAGAATCCATATGAGGGTCCTTTTGAGGTGAAACCCAGATTTGCAGAGACTTTTGTGGTGTGTATGCATGGCAAAAATGTCGCCATATCTATCAACCGTTTGAAACCAGCATACACACTAGCGCCAGAAGAAAAAGCTGAATCCGTTCCGTCGCAGTCTAATGAGATTCCGCAAACAATCCGGCTGGAATCTGATAACAACAGCAGATTGCACAACCAAACTCTTCAACGAGACGAGGACGCCGAGTTCGGTTTCCGGATTTTTTGCAGACCGGATTTTTGTGAACTTCGTCACTAGAGGGGGAGTACTGTAAGCGTATGGCAACGTCGCTATGTTAAGGGTCGTGCCGGATGGTGCGTACGGATGGTAGAACAGGCAGTCGGTCCCGGGTAGTTGTCGCGATAAGATATCTCTGTACATAAACTGTTAATAAACCATTATTATCAATTACCAAAGCATAAATCTTATTTTTAATGAGAAACTAACACTAATGTTATAAAAACTCCAGTACACATAGAACGCTAGCAATAGACGGTATTCCTTATGAATTTTATAAAAAATATAGCGATGAGATTGCACCGACTTTGGCTAAAATTTTAAATGAATATCTAAAAACCCAGAAAAGATTAATAGAGATTTTTGTTGAAGGTGTAATAATACTAATACCCAAAATTAAAAATGCAAAAATACGAAAGATTTTAGACCGATAACACTTTTGAATACAGATACGAAACTATTGTGCAAAATAATTGCCAATATATTAAAAAACAGCGTACAACAAATTTTAAACAAAGGACAGGCATGTTGTGTAGATGAAAAAAATATAACTGAAAACTTTGTAGCTATCAGAAACCTAATCATATATTGTAATAATAAAAACAAATTAAAGTGCTGCCTTAATAAATATAGATTTTCAAAAGGCCTTTGATATGTTATCGCATGAATATTTATTTAAAGTTTTAGAGAAAATTTCAGTACCAGAAAAAATACCAAATTTATAAAAAACTTATATAAGAATGCATCGTCAAAAATATTAATAAACGGTTATTTATCTAATGAAATCAAAATTGGTAGGTCAGTAAGACAAGGATGTCCTCTCTCGATGATTTTGTTTGTGATCCATTGCTTGTGGATTTATCGAGGGAATTAAAAGGATTACAAATAATGCAAAAAAAGATTAAAGTTTTAGCACACGCAGACGACGTATCCATATTACCGATAATATTATACTAGTATTCCTTTAGCAGAGGATTTGTTAAAGATGAAATTGCATCTCATTTATCGAGATTCGTAAAATAAAATTTTCAGAGGAAAAATAAACTGCAGCTTATAGAAAAAATAATATTTACACGTCTTGCGTGGAAGGACAAAAGAACTATCACAATTATAATTGCGGAGCAATTATACACATACGGAAATGCAATCAACATACAGAAAGTTAGGTGATGGAAATATTATATCCATTGATAAGCCATTGATTATAATATTGTAATTTAATCTATAAGTTTTTGGTCTTCGATAATTATTATAAAAAGGTTTTAATAAAAAGAACTATTTTTAGATTTTGATAAAAATTATTATCAATGCTTTTGTTACAGTATTGTTACCACTACTATTTTTTTGGACATTTATTTGGGGAATTTTTTTTCTTTGTGAAAGTCACTGGAGAATCAATTGAAATCTCGTCTACTACAACTTCACATGCTATTTGTTCATTGCAAAGTGTTTTGTCAGTACGTAGATACAAATGTAGATCAAAAGTTGTTTAGATAAATTAATTTAGTGAAATAACTGTTTTAGAATAGATATTATTAGTTCAGTGCGAAGTTATTTTTCAACACGTAGATACAATTTTAGAGTAAAGTTTGATAAATTTGTGCTTGTGTAAAACTATAAATTGACTAAAATAATTATTTGAGAATAAAAATTTAGTGCGGAGTTTTTTCAATAAGTAGATACAAATTTAGAAAGGTTGTTGAATTTGCAAAATTGTTGACTTTACAACAATCGTTTTTAAATCATAAGTATGAATTCAGAAACCAATACCCTAGTAGAAACGAATATGAGCTGAATATGTTTTTTTATGTAAGCTAAATATTGTTTTCTAATATTGAGCTTATATGATTTTGTTAACATTCGGTCATATTCCGCTCAGATTCGTAATGAGGGACGAATGCGGGAATATGATATTTAGCTTATATGATTTGCTTAACATTTTTCCATATTACGCCCGTATTCCGAATATGAGGAGAATAGGTAAAAATAATATCTATACCATATTGAAAAACATATATAAACCATATTCAAAATTATTGACCCTTCATTCTTAAATATTAAATATATATTCATTTAAAAGAAAAAATAATATTATTTAAGTAGTATTGGACAAACAGCATTAATAAAAAAATTATTTATTTAGTATTTACAATATAACTTACATACACACAAACGCCATTTTGAGGTTAATGCATGTAAATACTTGCATTGCATGCATATATAGTGTTGAGAATTGTGTTCTTTATAATTATAAATAATAGTCATAAGTAAATTCCTTTGAACGATGTATACTCCCAAGTAACGGTAAATGTTGCGAATATTTTGTACATCTGCCAGACAACCCTTAATAAAAGTTTATGATAGCTCATGTACCTTCGGCGAGCTATCATAAAACTAGAAATATTGGAAATATTTTAAAAATGTAAAAATATAAGTTAGTTAGTCCTGAACTCTTGAACAAGCAACAACTGAAATATTATAATAAAGCGATAAATAAATTTTTGTATCTAAATAAATTCTTTGATTTCACACACTTCCCGAAGAGCTACAAATGTTCCAATTCTCGTATTCAAAAGTATTCAAAATAAAACCCTAATCTACTCAAGAATTATTAAAAATTGGTTACATTTAATTATTAATTAGTAAATTGATTACTAACGTCTCTTCATTTGGTGGCAGCGGTGGGATCCAACTCCGAGATAAGAGTACAAACTAATAAAATAAATTAAAAAAAATTAAAACAAAAAGTGTGTGAAAAATAACCAAACTCTTAAAATTATCAAGTGATACAAAAATAAAGTGCTTATCAAATAAATCGATCAAAATCTATATAAAAATCATCAAAATAATTCTAATAAAAAATAATAACTGGAAGATTTAATAAAAAGAATAATAACAAGTGGAAGATTTTGAAGTTTAAAACGTGGGACCAAATCAGGACTTAAATCTACAACCCTGGAGCGACGATCAAGGTGAACAAAACCCTCTATCATAATCAAAAGGAATTCAAGTAAGAAAATTCATATATTATTACAAATTCAAGATGGAGAACCAATCTACAATTTTGAATGAAAACTTATTAGATTTAAATTTAGCCTTAGCTATATTACCGAATTTTATTGAAAACGAAACTGATGTACGTATTTTTATTGATGTATGTGATTCACTGAA